ACTTACCTCGATGCCTCGAACACAACTCAAGTTTCTATTATAGCTTTACCCCTTGATTTCACCGCCAATTCGCTCGTATCTAACCACAAGTTACTTAATTACATCAATAAACGCTAAATGAATCAATTTGAATGCATGAAAATGAGTTTTTCAAAGTTTTANACCGCACGAAATGGACTGCAGCCGCACAGGCCTCTACCGCGCACCGCACAAAGCCGACCGCGGACCGCACTGGCCCCCTTCTGCGGTCGCACACATTTTTGTGCNGCAGACCCCCTGTGCGGACTACACAAAATGGACTGCGGCCGCACAGGCCTTCCTGAGGATACTGCGGTCCAGTGCCCTGTGCGGANCAGGCCGACGTGGTCAAAACTCGAGGTTTGAACCAAAACCCAATTATCCATTCCCCCACGAACTCAAATATATAATTTGTTTTGAAATCGGACCTCAAATCGAGGCCCAAATNAGTGGGTTCAGAGACCTGCAACTTCTCTGAACCTGCCACAACTGTGTTTTTAGGCCTAAGGCATCCCATAACCTACCCGAGCTCTCGGGGCTCCAAGCCAAATATACACAAAATCCTCAAAAATATCCTACGGACTTATTCGTGCAATCAAATCATCAAAATAACATCATGAACATCAAATTAAGTCTCGAGATCAATGAAATTTTCTCNTTACTTACAATTGATTTGGAGAAGAAAGGTTGTTTGAAAAGCGCCTCTTATGTTTTTGGGGTTTTGAAAAATGAAAAATAACTGAAAATCTCGTCTATTTATACCCCTCGCAGACCCCCTGTGCGGACTACACAAAATGGACTGCGGCCGCACAGGCCTTCCTGAGGATACTGCGGTCCAGTGCCCTGTGCGGACCGCACGAAATGGACTGCAGCCGCACAGGCCTCTACCGCGCACCGCACAAAGCCGACCGCGGACCGCACTGGCCCCCTTCTGCGGTCGCACACATTTTTGTGCGGACCGCACTAGTGGGTTCAGAGACCTGCAACTTCTCTGAACCTGCCACAACTGTGTTTTTAGGCCTAAGGCATCCCATAACCTACCCGAGCTCTCGGGGCTCCAAGCCAAATATACACAAAATCCTCAAAAATATCCTACGGACTTATTCGTGCAATCAAATCATCAAAATAACATCATGAACATCAAATTAAGTCTCGAGATCAATGAAATTTTCTCAAAACTTCTTTAAACATCAACTTTGCGATTTAAGTCCGAATCACGTCATATGACATCCGTTTTTTACCAAATTCCACATAAATGTCTTAAATCATATATAAGACTTGTACCGAGAGCCGGAACCAAAATACGGGCCTGATACCATCATGTTCTAAGCAAATTTCATTTCAAATTTTTTAAAACAATTTTAGAAAATAATTTTCTTTAAAAAATTCATTTCTCGGGATTGGGACCTCGGAATCCGATTCCGGGCATACATCCAAGTCCCATATTTTCCTACGGACCCTCCAGGACCGTCAAATTATGGTTCCGGGTCTATTTACCCAAAATATTGACCGAAGTCAAATTTATTCATTTTACAGTCAAAACTTATCATTTTTCACATTTAAACTTTCCGGCTACGCGCCCGAACTGCGCACGCAAATTGAGGTGGTGCTAAGGGAGGTTTTTAAGGCCTCGGAACGTAGAATTTCATTGCAACATATGTGATGACCCAACAAGAAATTATGCCTATGCTTTTAATTTATTGCAAGATTCTAAGATATCAATGATAGCTAAGTGATTATAGTCACCTGTAAGAGGTACTCACTGGTGTCTGGTAGATTACATTTCTATCTCAAAAATTATTAATCGGATAGAATACTGGACATACCAAATTCTAGCTAACAACATCCTTGATTTGGGTAAGGTGTTTGTATTTAGTTATTTCTAGCTTAATTGAAAGTGAGCTGATTGAGTATATGATATATGCTAAAGTTAATGTTCCTTTTGAAAAAGAAATCCACTAATCTAGTTTTTCTATCAGTATACAGAAATTAAACAAAAAGAAGCAACATAATCATACTATAGAGAGAATATAACTAGATGCTTGGATGCTAAGAAAACAAATGAGGAAGGCCAATAAAGCATGATTTTTGTCCATAGGTTCTGTTACTCGAATCATTCGATTACATTTTCATCTCAATGCTACAACATATATAGATTTTCCTCTACTTTTGTCATTTGTTTAAATCGTGTATATGTATATCTCTTACTTATATATGATAGTATTGTCGTGAATCCCCAAGGGGACAACTCTACCACATTGCTCTGAGTTTGCACTTGCATACTATGGATTTCTATATAATTACTAATTCTATTTTGTAGGAAAGTTCTGGTGGACAATTAAAAATGGTGCCAAAAGACTATTTGATCTATTGGAATTTAACGATGAAGACTTTGGACAATTACGATTTTTGTAATTCCTGATACTATATTTGATTTTGTAAAGTTACAAGCATGAACCTTGAAATAATTTGCTTCATTGTATTACACAAGATTTAATCTTTTTTTGAAGTTCATTGCAAGTATATGCATTGGAATTATTCTTTTGTTATTTTTTTATATATAATTGAGTGTTTGAGATCTTCGTACGTGATTATGGGATACATACGAAAATATATTTTATTGAAAACAAATTACTTCATAGCTTAGATACAATTGCCACACTTCAAATGTGTGGCCATATGGATTGGAAAATTTGTGGCTTATATACTAGCAAAAACAACGCTTTCAAGTGTGATCTAAAGAGTAACAACGGCCACATTTTTCATGTGTTGTTGTAGTGCCGAAAAGTGTTACCATTGAGGGTATTACAAGCGTGGCTTTTATTAATTTTTAGCCACATTTTTTAAGCGTGGCTTCTAAAGCAACACTTAAAAAGCGTTCTCTTGAGGCAAATGTTACGCTCATTTAGGTCACCCCTCAAAAAGTGTTGCCTTAGGTCCGAAAGTGTGGCCTTTAGTCAAATGTCATACTTTCTGATAGTTTACGTCATGCTTTTCAGATGTAGTTAAAGGTCTAAAATGTTATAGTGAGCAGAAGAAACGAAGAAAGAAAGCTCACCTCAGTTGAGCTCTAATGGAGGATGAAGAAAGCAGTTGAGCTAAGAGACTTCTGGAACCTTCTCTTTCATTAGAGAGAATGAACGGAGCTAAAGAGAGTACAAAAAATATTAAAAATGTAAAGTCTTTTCTGTACAAAAATATCTAGGCCTATTTATACTGTATACATACATGTGTACAGCTGTACCAACTACACTACAATATGATTTGTACAAAAATAAATACACATATTCTCAATAATTTATCTTTACTAAAAATTAATAAGTATAAAATTAGATCAAATATCTGTTCACGAGTCGTGGAATTTGTAAACTAGTTGAATATATTAAAATAAAGTATTAGGTCTTTGTCATGGTAAAGTCAAGTACTAGGTGTGGTAGTTTAAGGTATGGGGAAGCAATTTAGGGGAAAAGTTATATACCAATCTTTAAAAAAAAAAAAAAAGTGGGTAAAAGCAAAGATTTAGCAAAAAATAAACCTAAAGAAGAAGAAAAAAAAGAACTTTATAGAAGCAGGGGCGGATTTAGGGGGCGGAAGGGGTCACCCGAACCCCCTTCGCCGAAAAATTACACTGTATATATAAGGCAAAATCTGGTGTTTATATCTATATATTAAGTTTTGAACCTCCTTAACACAATCTGAAAGTGTAGTTTAGTGATCAAGGAGGTTCAAAACCTTCATAAGGTTATAGGTTCAATTCCCTCCTAGCTACAAAAAAAATTTTTAAACCCCCTTTGTGGAGATCCTGTCTCCGCCACTGTATAGAAGAGAGGAAAGGGAAAAAAACCTCTGTAAAGAGAGGAATAAACCAAAGCCATTAAGAAACACCAACAGCAACATATAAATGTTAAGTGGTTACTTTTTTTAGGAGATATTCTTTTCTTTGATTTCATTCTTAACCCCATCAATTTCCCTTTCAGAATCTTATCTTCTTTTCTTTCTGTACACCTCTCTATCTGCCCAAAAAATTAATTAAAAATGCATGGGCACATAAGATACACGACCTATGGCATTAATGCATATGCATATTGTACACATGTTTATCTTTTGTGGAGTCGTGGTCTTATGAATAGAACTTCGTTGTCTTTTCGCGTGCTAATTTAGTTTGTATCTCTTAGAATATTACGAGAAATATATGTAAATAGTAATGGATTTTGCATTTAATTTATCTCATAGTATTCAGCATCCTCGTATAGATGAATAACACAGAGTATATAGGAAAAAGGTGGTTACATTCTTGTTATCGGACAGCTTGAGTTTTATAAATTAACAAGTAAAATAAAAGTAATTAGATAAGAGGGAAGGAATATGTACAGAGGGTTACCAAGAAAATGAGAATAGGTATAGAGCGACGTAGCTATTCCAATTTCAATAAGTCTAGTGTATAATTATATTTTGTCGAAAAAGGAGAAATATTCTTAATCTTTTTAGAAATTGTAAGAGTCTATTTTTTATTACTTTATTAGTCATATCTACAAAGAGGTTCTTGTGCATGAGTCTAAGTTCTCTCCTCTATATGGTCAAAGTCTCAAAGGTATCTTTATCATACATTTTAAATTTTAGGGGATGCACAAGAAACTGATTTTTATTTTATTTTATTTATTTTTATGTTTACCTACTTGGTGGTAATCCCTTACTTTTTTTTTAAAGAGTCGAAGCTAACAATTGAAGTGGGAAAACGTGATAATTAGAGCCCGTTTGGGCATAATTTTTTTCCGAAAACGTGATAATCTGTGTTTGTTTCATAAAATTACCAATTCATTTTGAAAAACTTCAAAAAGCTGTATTTCAATTTTTTTACTCAAATCACTCATAAAACTTCACAAACAACCCAAACTGAAATTTATGTCCAAACACAACTCTAAATTTCAAATACCATTTTCACTTGAAATTTTTTTCACCATTTTTTGAAATTTTACAATTCTTATGTCCAAACGCTTACTTAATTCTTTACTTGTACTTTGGACAGTGGGGGTTCATTTTCAGTCACTTTTGACTTTGCACTCCTTTAAAAAAATAATGAAATATATATTTTATAATTTTACCTATAATGAAAGCATTTTCAAAAATTTTGAGGAATGAGTAGTTAATAATAAGGGTAAAACAAAAAAAGTAATTATTTTTTTCTTGATTTAGTATAGTTGACAAGTAAAAGTAAAAAATATATTTACTATGGACAAGTAAAAGTGCACGGAGGGAGTAAGTTATTAAAGCTGTAAGTTTTGTTATAGACTTGGATCCACATACAAAATAATATTACATTATCAATTTCAAAGTTCATGTTTACCTTTTCTTTTTGTTTATATTTATAAACTAGTATTTAGTTTTCGTAAAAGAAAAATAAGTGTAACAGAGAAAAGGAAAAATAAGCTCGATTCGTTTTAATTTAGATGACACATTTTCCTTATTAGTCTGTTAAAAAAGAATTACACATTTTTATAATTGAAAATAATTCAACTTTAAAATTTTTATTTTACCTTTAATGTGAAGTTTTTATAACCACACAAATGTCATGTCTCCACAAAGTTTACCCTTAAGCTTCTAATACCACAAGTTTCAAAAGTCTCTCTGTTCTCTTAAACTTCGTGCCGAGTCAAACTAGTTCATCTTAATTGAAACGGAGAGAGTGTTTATATTCATGAAAGAAAAATGGGCAAAACATTTGCGGCAAAATTATTTTTTCTATTTTCCAATTAGATAACGCCTCTACAAGATTTTTCATCAATATTATTAATAAGCTGATACTAAAATTCAACATTTAAAATACTGTTGAAATGTCGAAAAGTTTTCTATAGAGTATTTCAAAGTTTAAGTTACACAGTGATTTTCCTAAAAGTTTTTATTTTTATGTGAAATTTATGTTTTTGTGTTATTTTAACTTTCACATTCTCCCGAATGTACAGTATAATAATTAAGAATGTTTTCCACTTACAGCTTGTTTGGATGATTATTACTTGTTGTATTGTATCGTATTGTTATTTTAAATACAATGTTTGTTTTGAATGTTACTTAAATTTATTGTATTGCATCTGTATAGGTCCAAATTTGGCGACTCGACGATAACGGATAAGTAAGACAAAAGACGGGGTCGACCATGATATAATGATTGAAAGTTGCTCTCACAAAGGCTGGTGCTAAAAGTGGGAAGCCAAGGTGAAAATATCGGTAGCATAATTCAAGAGGTGGACATAAAGAATAATTCTTTGGATATTTTTTATGCTGTACTTTTTAGAGTTTTTGGGGAATATCTCTTATAAATAGGAAGAGATAGAAAACAAGAGGGGATCTTCTTCACCTTTTGATAAGAGCACGTTGTAAAAGTTGACAAAAGAGAATATCCAAAAGTTGTCTTGTTCGTTGATGATATTATTGAAGCACACGATGTTCAATCTTTATCCATAGATCCAAAGATTCCATACTCATCTTGACTTCTCACTTTTCCACGTCGCTGACAGAGAAAAGGAACATCCCAATCACATAATAATTAGGTGGTAGATATTTTCTTATTATATTCATTGTCATTATTTACATTTATTATATATTCATGCTATCGTATTTATTGTCAATCATAGAGTATTAAATCCATTATTTAATGCTCTTGAGCACTGCTCGTCTCCAAAGTGTTCCATTTTATTCGGTCTAGAATTTATTAAGTTCAACTAAGATTCACCCTTTAATTCATCATTAATTGGTCTAGTTAAAAGGTTTAACACTTCTTTTCTCAAACAATATCGTTAAATTCGTTGTTACGTAATGATGTGTCACTTTATGGAACAACCGATTTGGTGTGGCCGCATTGTTACCTTATTTTTTCTCTCTCATCGATCTTACCCTTTCTTATTATTAAATAATCTTATTTTATATTTTACCCTATCTAATAATCCCACCTCGTACTTTACTTGTTCTTTATAATATTGTCAGTTTTTCCTTCATATTATTGGTGTATAAAACGACAACGAATAATATAATCTATTCAAATGTTATACATATCAAAATAATATAATACTTTATAATATAATATATTATGAAACGATATATAAGAACCATCCAAACAAGCCGTTAAGCAAAGCGAATTCGAATGAATCCACACCAATATATATGTATGTATGTAAATTACGCTCACACCCCCCCACCTAGACCCTAACCAACAAAAAAACACAAGTCCTTATTGGCGGTTTTTCTGTGATCTCTATTCTCTCTCCGTGTCTATAGAGTAGTTTGTTGTGATTCTTTTTTCTCTTTCTTTTCCTACTCCTCTCAATCTTGCCTCTTCCCATTCATTCATTCGGCTTCTGTGTCACATCCCATTTTCTATCCTCATTCTTGATCCATTTTCTGCTTTTGTTCTTATTGGATATCTTGTTTGGATTTGATCTGTCAATTTTGCCCCCAAACTTATAGTTCAATTTGGTGCTTTGTTTCCCTTTGATATTTATTGGACTATTATGCTTTCTTTGTGTGGTATCAATTTGGATTTTGTGCTATAAAAAATTTGTATGTGGGCGTAGTTTAGATAGATCTGCTCTCTTTATGTTTTATCCCTTTTTGGATGCCTCCATTTTTGCAATTACTTTTTCTAGTTTGAAGGGTTAAAAAAATTGGGAATTAAAGTTAGTGGTTATTATTTGGTGCTGTTGTTATTATTACTCCACCTATTATTATTCTATTCCTACAATTCTTGAATAATCTATTCAAGATTTTTTGTATAGATATTTTTAAAAGATTCAGCACTTTTTGAGGCTGAAAGATTTTTTGGGGGCACTAGATTCGGACTGTTTTTTTGGTTGAAACTGCACTTGTTGTAATGGTGCAGTTGTTGGATTGAGTGGAGAATTGGGTACTCGGATTTTAAACAGTTTTGTGTAGGATTGTTTGTTATTTATTAGAAGGGGAGGTGTGACGGATCCGAACACGGAAAATAGGGGGGTTGGTTGTGTAGCTGCTCTGGATTGTTTATTGAATATAGTCCGGGCTCTCCGGACGGGGTCCTGCTTAACTTATGAAAGCAGGACCCCTGTTCCGGGTTCTCCTACATCCGCAGTTGGAATTAGGAAAAAAAAGAGCTCAAAGAAGAGGCCAGTTTCTAGGAATTCTTCTTTTAACAGTCGTAAGGAAGAACAGTTGCGTAAGATTCCTGGCCGCTTATTCTTGAATGGCTCGAGTGATGTGGCTTCGCTCTTCACTCAGCAAGGCAAGAAAGGAACTAATCAAGATGCCATGATTGTTTGGGAGGTTTGTCCTTCATATTCATATTACTATCTTTGTAAATATTGTTGATTAGGATTTAACTTTATGTTCCCAGCATAGCAAAAAAGCATCTTTAGTTGCATTGGAAGAAGTTCAAAGGACAAAGTAGTCGTATTTTTTTTAGATTATGGTTTTTGGAGGTTAATGGTAGGTTCCCCCCNTATAGTACTTGTCTGATCATAGACTGTTCACCTGAGTATTCTGATGACCATCTGATATTGTGATATGCTATAGTTTCCTGTACATGCCTAGAAAGAAAGTATTTCATTTTTTTATCAAGCTGAAGAAAATATTCCTTAGATACTGCATTTCTTTCTTATCGTTTTGGATCTACGGATTGTTTTCAGATACATGTCGAGGATTCTACCTTTCTCGGCCTTTTGGCTAAGGTTAAGTGTAGTATATGTCGAGGATTTGTTCGTACCTAGTGATCCTTTCGTTCAGATTGTCTCATTATAGCTATATGGAGAGCATCTTCTAATTCATCCTTTATAATTATATTTCAGAACTTTGGTTCCAGAACAGATACAGTATTCTGTGGTGTTTTTGATGGCCACGGTCCTCATGGCCATATGGTTGCAAAGCGAGTCCGAGATTCCCTTCCCTTAAAGCTAAGTGCACACTGGGAAGTTAATGTGAAAAGTGAGGATGTTCTGAAGGAGATCAGTCTAAATGCTGGGGCTAGCCTAAATTCTGAGGATGCTTCCCTTATATCTGCTGATGAGGAGTCGAGGGTCTCAATTGACGTTGAAGAGGCTGAAAAGCAACCAGAGGTCTTTCAGACTTTGAAGGAGTCATTTCTGAAGGCTTATAAAGTTATGGATAGGGAACTGAGAAGCTACACCAATATTGACTGCTTCTGTAGTGGGACAACAGCTGTAACCTTTGTTAAACAGGTCCCTTGACAGATCTGGAAATTTGAAGCTAGTTAGATTTTATAATGTGTTATTTAGAAGATTGAACCCAACAATTTTCATTTTTTTTGTAGGGTCAGGATCTTGTTATTGGAAATGTAGGCGACTCCCGAGCAGTTCTGGGTACAAGAGATAAAAGTGGTTCTCTTACTGCTGTACAATTGACAGTGGATCTGAAGCCTAATCTACCAGGTTAGATTCTATATCTTGTGTTGTGCAGATTGAGCTGATTTTGACTCCCGAGCACTTTTCTGGATTTTGCTTTGGTGTAGATCATCTTACAAGATTACCACTTAGCTTGTTTTATTTTGATGAACTTATTACTTTCTAGTCCTGATTCTTATGTCAGCATTTTGACTACTGTACAATTTCTCCAACTCTCGTATTTATGCAGCCATCAACTTGGATATGAATTAGCCATTCAGTTTAGCAAAAAATCGTCATGATAACTAACTGTCGTTCATATGTTGCTACACTTTCTTTCATTTTCCCTCGACTTCTGGAATAGTTTAAATTTAATCTTGACCTTCTAGTCAAGGATAAGAAGAGTCTTTTCTCATTTTATTTTTCATCTTCTTATTGCAATTATAGAAGTTAGAGAGGGAAAAAGAAGTTAAAAGATGGAGGACTTGGAAGGAAAAAGAGTTCAAAACTTCTCTATGCTTCTCATTCAACTATCGTAACGGACACCATATCCTATTTTGTTCTTTCTTCTTTTTCTTATTGTTTTTTATTTTGATAAAGTGAATCCCACGACCAAACCAACTCTCGAATACTCGAGAGTGGCCCTCTCCCTACCTTGCTCCTGTAATCACCTGAACTCCAACCTTTTAATGGGAAGTGGAGTGCTCTTGCCACTAGAGCAACCTCACTTATCATTTTGTGTTTTCTTCTTTTCTTTTTCTAATTAATTATTAATTATTAATTTCATCACTTCTTGTTTCTAGGCATTCTTTTATTTTGCTCCATATGTTTTTTTTTTGTTGAGAAATATTTTGAAAAGAAGAAGAGAATCATTACTTAATAGGTCAATTGTCAGGTTGACAGACAAGAAGAGAAAAGGAAGGCATTTGGCCTCCTTGCAGCATTGGAGGAATTGTTTTGGTTTAATAATATAATTTTGAGGGTTAAAAAAAAATATTCCTAGCAATTTCTCTGTACCTTTGTCCAAAAAAAAAAAAAGATAAATATCCTAGCAGTTTCTTGATGGAATCTCAGGCAAGTTCTTAGCCTAGGCAGAAGTGTCGATTCAGGGATAAGTGACAATGGGCCTAAAGATGAGTTTGTAGAATCAAATGTTTAACTACCCCCTTTTAATTTCTTATAGCCGGTTTTTGGTACACCCTGCAATATTTTTTAACTTCATCGTAGGTGTAACTAGTAGTGAGATAGTGATCATTCTTTTTGTTTTCCTTTTTCTTACTGCTGTTCTTGAGCTTGATTATGATTAGCAGCATCCTGAGAATTAACTCCATTTCTCCTGATTTTATATTCAACTTCTAATTACTATAAGAAACAAGTATCTATAAGTAAAACATAGTGATTTTATTTTGTGTTTCATACAACTTACACTAGTTGTGTGAGGCCTCTTTTTATCTCACATATTTGTGGACCCATATCTTACACATCTGGGTCCACAAAAATTCTGGGACCGCACAGTTGTGAGACAAAAAAGAGGCCTTACACAACTAGTGTCAGTTGTGTGAGGCACAAAATAAAAATTTTCAGTAAAACAGGTGTGCGCAAGCTAGCCCAGACACCATCGTCATAAAAGAAACAAAAAAAGACAAGTATTATAAGGAAAAAAGGTTACCAGAAACAAGTAACTTCATTTTGTTTTTATTTCTTGAGTGTTTTTGTTCAAGTCTCACTGTTCGGATCACTGGATTGCCTCTGTTATTAATTGCTTAGGAAGTGTTCATTGCACTGATGTTAGTAACAGACTGAAGGATTGACATCTATAAACCTTAAAATTCGAGATTTATATGTGAAATTGACAGTTATTGGGCAGTATGTGCAGAATATTGGGCAGTATGTGCAGAAATACATTATTTCTATGATCGACATGATAACGAGTGATGTCTGTTTGAGTTAATATAACATCACGATGGAACCACTGCATGTTTGAAAATGACGTGCTTCTGCCGGACCATATATTGGATTAATAGGAAAACATTGGCAGAGTTGTATTGAATTAAATGCTCATATGTTGTCAAAATAAGTGTGACAATTGTCAGAAACTGAAGTCTTAATTTGTTGACTGAAGTTCTACATAAACTAAAAAGATTAGGATCTCATCCATGTGTAGGTTCTGAATCAGGGGACTAGTTATTCAGGTCCTGCTGGTCAAATCATCTTCTTGTGGTGCCCTGCCATATGTAAACTACTTGCTATCAGAGCCAGTTGAACTGTCAATACAAACACATCCACTGTGATGAATGGAGAACTGATTTGTGATTATAGTTCATTTTTCTTGGAAGTTTTTTCTGTTTGTTTATCTGGTCTGATTCCATACTGCTCTCTCCATTGTATAAATCTTGTCGATAGCCAATTTGAATATATATGCTCATTTATTTAGAATAAATAAATACTGCGTTTGTTGTTGTTGTTGCATTGTTAGAAGTATCATCGTTAGAAGAACTGTAATTTGTCGAGCCGAGGTTTTCCCTTGACAAATTACAGTTCTTTTAAATTATGCTTCTGTTGAAATCCTCTTAAATTTTTGGTACGGCCATTCTGTCCGTCTTGCTTCCACGATTAAAGAGGTCTGTTGCATCGTTAGAAGTATCATGTTCGAGCCAGCTTTTTAAACTTTAAGAAGTGCTGTGCAATTCTACGCCTCTTTACATCCATGACCAGTTATAAACAAAAAATACTTGTGCTATCACAATGAAATAAAATAAAATGGAATAGAACACAGTTACCTAGATTTGAAGGACTAGGGCAGATACAAGGAAGAAAAGAGGATTGGGAAAAATCTGCCTAGCAAAAAAAAAAAAAAAAAAGATAGGAAAA